CTGCAGGGCATTGTAGGAAAATGTGCGCAACCGTCTCAGGGCGTTTTTTTCCAGGGAAATTTTGGCGGCAACCCCGGCACCAGGGGAGCGCCCTTCCTTGCTGTTTGAGCTGTGTATGATCAATCAGCCAGTCATTGGTCGATAGGCAGCGATGAGTGATTTGCCATTGAAGAGCGGAGATTTTTGCCGGCCTTTTCTGATACTCGTTGAACCATTGGATAGGTTTGAGTGTGCTTCTATCTATATTTAGATGGCGCTGCCATCTGTCCGCCACCACGTCTCGTAGCTGACGCTTAGGTCTGAGCATTCGGTAGACGTACTTCGTTTTCAGGGCGGCTAAATGGACCGTTCTTTCCTCCCCCCGTCCCCGCCCTCCCCTGCCTTTCCACGACCATCGCCATTCTTGGGGATCAAGGGGGAGGTTCTCAATCGGGATCATTGGACGATACGCTCTCCAACCTTTCCCCTCTTCGATCACCCTGATGCGATAGACTTCCGATTTTCTTTTCCAAATGAAGGGTTGTCTACTCTTTTGTAGCCACCCTGTTTCTGTGATAGCGTAACATTCAATCAGGACTAGTGCCTGATCCACTATGTGCAGTCGGCGTATTTGTGATTCGTGGCTAGGTAGCCCCACCCAATCGTCTTCTTCCAACGTTGGACCTTTCTTAAGCCTAGTGTACCATTGGATGGGGAAACTTTCAATAAGTTCTTCCATTGTAGACTCGAGTGAGTGGCAGTAGCGGAGGCATCTTTTCATTCCTGCTGCACTTTTTCATTCTCCGCTTTCCCCATCCCATAGGTCCCCCACCCTCAGCACCCCATCTTTCACCCAAATGTTTCATGGGGAGTCCGAGTTGTTCCTTACCTGGCCGGGGGAGTCTGTGATTAATCTATTGCCAAACAACGGTTGCCTGATTATTAATCCCCTCACACTGCGATCTGATGGGCTGCAAAGTGACTCCTCTGGATCGATATGGCTTTCCGAAGGCGACTAATCCCTCTTCCCCTCCCCTTCTCTTCGACCCTTTCTCCGTCTCTCTCTCTTGTCTTCTACCCCCCCTTCGCAACCATAAAATTCACAAGCGCATCTGGAAAGCTCTTTCCCAACCCATTTGCCAATTGCAGGGAAGTAGTGGCTAGATGACACGATGATCAGTGAGTCGGAAATTCTCAGCAAGTTGATTATACTCTTGCGACGCTGCACGTTGGATGGTTGCAAAGAACCGTGGGATCCGGGCGAGTCCGCGTAGAGACTAAGTTAGCAGGGTGACAATCGCAGTGGAACGAATTTTGGTATGTGGCGCCCGGGATCGTCTGTGACTGAGTAAGGAAGGTGTGTGTGTTGACGAGTGGTTGCATGGCCTAGGGCCATGACATGAGAGCAAAACGCTTACACGCCTTGATTCCTCATTTTCTTTCATGTTATTTTGCAAGTTCGGTTCATGGCAAGACGTCGACCTCCCTCATATATTATTGTATGCCTGTGTCTGAATGTCGGCCATTTTTTCGGCCAAGTCGCAACTTTGTCAATGCACTCTCTCTCATTCTCTCTATGAATGATTGAATGATGTGACGACACTGACGATTTTCTAGTTTCTGTCTGCATCTGAGTCACCACCCTGCTTATCCCTTTCAGTTCGATCGGATTTCGCAAGAACGAGGCTCAACGTTGTCGAACTTAGTGATATAGGTAATGAAATTAATAAGAAATTAAATTCATTTATTGAATATAGGGTAGCCTGCTATTCATTCATTCCGCCGATTAGGCGAGGCTACGGTGCCTTTCTTTCTTTTTCTTTTCTTTTTTTGTTTGTTTCTTTTCTCTAATCTAAGGCGCCTCTTTTTTAGGCGCCTTTCTTAAGCGGAAATGGGCCACTTGTTTTGGTTTGGGTAGATTTCAATAGTGCCACGAATTCGAAAAGTAATAACAAGAAT